ACCTCGACAGGAATCGGGTCTTTTCGCCGACAGGCCTTTCGCCCCCACAGATCTCCGAAGCCCGGAGGCAATCACCGGTCCGCCCTTCTCGATTGGCCCACAGGTTTCACCCGCTCGCTCCCAGCGCAAAGTTCTCTCTATTGTTCCTTCGATTCGTCGACGTCTCCAGTCGATCTGTGGTTGCATGTCCTCAAAGAAAGGTATATCAAGGATGCAGTCAAACTCTTCAGGTATCGCGTAGACAACTGCGACGCATTCATACGCCTCGTCGATTCCGGCGACAAGGATACGTAGAGGTAGCACCTCTAGCTGGGTCTTCACAATCTGATTGTCTCCTAGCTTGACTCGAATGTTCTTGTCGCTGAACTTCGTTGTCTTCAGCTGGTGTTCTTCTACCCACCGCTTCGACACGTAGATCGTGGTTGCACCACAGTCTAGAAGCATTTTCGATGTTTTCTTCATCTTGCCAGCCACACTGATTTCACCGCCGACGGCGAACAGTGGACGTGACTTGTAGACTAGAGGGTTTTCACACAGAGCATTAAGGCTGACATTATCAAACTTAACTGCTCCGGTTACTTTCTCTTCCACGACAGGACCCTCTTTCACTGTCGTGGCTTCTCGTTTCCCTGCTTCCCTTGCTCCTTCTTCCACGCAAAGCAGTTGCCTTTGATGTGGCCAGGTTTGTTGCAGAAGCGGCAGGTACGAGTCTCCTTGCTCTTCAAATTCGAGCTCGGCTTAAACCGTCCCTTTCCTCGGAATGGTTTTCCTTTGAACGTTTTCTTGTTGTCTTGAGGTTGCTCATTAGAGGTCTTTGTCTTCTCATGACGAACCTTGCGCTCACTAGCGTCCTCCACAAAGTGAGTCACCTCAAACTTGACAGCTAAGTCCATGGCGTTACTCAGTGTCTCAGAATTCTCGAGCTTCACGTAGCTTCGCGTGCGAGGCTTGAGACCGTTTGCGTAGAACAGGACTTGGTCAAGCACGCTCATGCCTTCGACTCGAAAGGTGAGGGCTGAGTATTCACCGTTGTACGTCTCGATATCCGCTGTCTGCTTCAGACGCTGGAGCTTATCTCGTAGCACTGACTGGTAGTTCGACGCCTCGAAGTGTTGGAGCACATGCTCACGAAAATCCCCCACGTGTGCTCTTCTACTCGCGTCGTCGAAGCCCAGTGCAGGAACCACCCCGAAGCCGGTTTCTCCATCGCCGACCCGGCGATTCCTGGTATTCGTGGGTTCGCGTTGTCGATTGCGATTCCGTTAATGCGGCAGGCGTTCTCGACCTTGAACAGCCATTCGCGCACGTCTTCCCCCCTCTTGCCGGTGAACTTGGGCAGGTTGCTGGGCACTCGTGTGCGTTCCGCCATCGCTTGATTCAGCCGGTCGACTCTCGGCTTGAAGCTGCGCGTTCGTCGGCATGGGCTCTTTGTTGTCAGGTTGCTGGGACCAACAAGTGCTACCAGTTTATCGAAGTCAGGGGAGCTTGGGGGAGAGCGCGCCAAAAGAAAAGTGCCGCCCCCGCAGTTCAGACGGATGGAAGCTTCTAGAAGCTTCCACAGCCGTCCTACATCTGCATGTTTATTAATTACAATACTATACATTCCATAGTACTACTAACAACCCATTGCAATAAGATAATAATATCACCCAATCGGATACAGTATCCATGCGCAGCATGATTTCTTAATGAGGTACCAATAGCTATCCCGCTCTACCTCATTGCTTCTGTAATTCCAAAGCCAGTCTGTTTCAGCACACGAACACGTGCCGGGTTGGAGAGCTTAAAATGCTAGTTCCAGCGGCATTGGCATGTTAGTTTTGCCTACATGACTAAAGGCCCTACGATCAGCTGGGTCACTCTTCATCGCGTACGTGTGCACGTACGATGCCATCTGATTAAACCTTTCACACTTTGTCACACCGGCTCCACGCGACATTCCTTTTCCAGCAGGCGTTTCGTCTAGATAAATAGCTCTGGTTGATTCTACTTCCATCCACAATATCATGGCTTTAAATTGAGTGTGAGTTGCGTGTGCATATTTGCTGAACCGCTGTGCTACTTACTTATGATCGATCTCCTGTGCTGAATCCGACTCGTCCGACACATCCGACACCTCGGAGCCCTCTCCGTCACCGGACGTCCCGGGTAATTTTAATGCTTTCGGCTCGTCGAAAACATCCACTTCCTGCGGCGGATCTTCACCTAACCTTACAGGCACCTATTCGTTTGCCCATTCCATCGCCCTAATTGATGTATTCCAGCTTCGTGACTCCGCTTATACTGGGCACACGTTCGAAAATACTATTCACATGACTTCAGATTGGATTTATCTCGAGCTAACTAGATCGCATACGCTTATACCGGAAGGGGCTACAGGACGGGTGTGCACGATTGATCTAATCTAAACACGCGGAGATGTGATTAGAAGAAACAGCGTAGCCACGTCCTCCCGGTACTGGGACTAGCCCGCACCTAGCTTTATGCGCTTTGGTCTTGATTTGAAGCACCTTCTGACAAGTTGCCCTACCCAGCATCAGTGAGCGAGTTACCTTTGATTGTTCGCTAGCATCGCATTACATTGATGAAGCACACTCAATTATTTATAATTCTTGTTCAACAAGCTATTGCGGCATCGATTGTTAGACGAATTTGAGTGCCGGTTGTCAAATGCTACCTGGACTGAAGGTTTCTTACCTTTCTCCTAATGCTACCTGTAACTCCTATATTTTGGGACGATAAATTATCTGTGATGCCCTACATGATACGGGGTACCTTCCGCTTTTAATTTCCCCTTTTACCGCTTCTCCTCTATCGTCCTAATTTAGCTGCACTACCTCTAGTTTACTGATTAGGATAACACCTCTGTACTTAGTCGATCTATTTTGGAAGGGTTATATTATTTGAAAAGGATGGTCACTTTCATCGACGACAAAGCTTCCAACTTCTTCAAACTCTAAGCGAGCTCACCTACCGCGGTAGACTTTGTCCCCCGTGGGCCATACTTCGTCGCTACGGTGGTAGCGAGCTGCTGTGGCTGTACATTTGCTACATACGAATCTACAAACTCACGCATTAACATGCACATACTAGCGGGTCTTGTCATAATATATACTTAAAGTAGTATGTAGTGGCTGCCAATGTGACGAGAGAATTATGGATGCGGGCTTTCGATACTGAGATATATTTACGAGTGCGAGAGTAATAAATACATTTCAGAGCGCGATGGACAAAGCGCGCTTCAAGGTGCCTGTAAATAGCTTAACTGGGTCATTCATCTAACAGTTTGCGACTGCTTTATAATACGCGTAGCGAAGAGTGGTTTCAAGCAAAAACACTGGCTGGACATTGTGGCGCTTCCTCAGAGAGCTCATAATCTCGACGTGGTGATGTGCGAAGCGATTGCAATGACACTGTGACTTTCACGGTCAATTAAATGCTCGCTCTTTACCTTAGAGCCGCACCAACAATTGCAGCATTTAAAAGTCCATAGCACGTTTTTAAACCGGCTTAAGTGATCCAGAAAAATCACTTTTACTTCTACATATCACCTGCTCATTTTTTACGGAGCAAAACATGCAGCAATCTCAAAACTTACACCTAACAAACACCTTGATTTTGCTCAATAAGCTGTTAATGAAAACGTATCATTTTCACTTCATTTAACCTGCTCAATATTATAATTTGATGTGCAAGGCCGTTAAAAAACCTGTAACAAATAAAGAACCTGTAGTGCTTATAAGAAAATGGATAATATAAGAGTTTTCATTTGAAGTTTAACCTACTTTTTCTGTGGGCCGCATATTTCATCCATGAAGTAACAAGTTATTGGGCTGTTTCAATACGTACTTCTCGCGTAGCACTACCAGGAAACCCTAGAGAAACCTAATATCCTGTCGTATATGATATAATTCAGATCCCAGTCCGTTCCCAGAGATTACTACGGTATGGTGTAAACTTGATATTGCTCAAATGACAAACCTGATAGGAAATTTTGAGGACAGCAAGTGCATATGTGCAGCATACGACTACGAAGTGGCCGTGGAAAAACTTGTACTTCGAAGTAATTAGTTGATGTCAGTAACCAGCAACCAGCAGCCTTGAAATTGTTTGTACTTGTACAGTATCATTCTTCGACTATCGAGAGCACATTCGATTTGTAAGTGATCTCGATGCAGTTGAAGTCGACAGCCTAAATATGCAAAAATTGGAGCTAGTCCAGTGTAAATGTTAGTCTAGCAGCATACAATGGCCCACCAACAAGCTTGTTGTGGAGCCCCCCCCCCCTAAACAAAAACACAAAAATACATTATTAATCCTCTATTTTCTTAATATCGTAGAAGTCTCAGTTGTGAATTGGTTTAGACTACAAGAAGTGCCTAAAAGTGGTTTTTGCTGCCCAGTGAGTGCATCGACTTCTATCGATTTGCTTTCTTCTCTGTATGTGCTATTAAAAGTACTGGCGATTTGTAGTGATCGGGCAGTTTATAAGTCATTTTTACAATGAAATTAGTGGAGGTCTACATATGCATACACGTAATTGCGGCTTAATGTAGGTGAAGAAACATGGAATGACCTTGTGCTTCATAGTTTAACAAATGATTCCTTATCCATGAGGCCAGGAGAGACTTACTTACTTAAATCAATAAATACCGTTTCAGTTTGATATGCATGTGTGCCTCCACGTTAGATTTGGAAAGGCACAGCGAAGTATATTTGAATTTTATGCCTCTCTAAGCCGTCATACTTCTTCATCTCGTTTACATACGTGGATATTGGCGCCTTATACACTTTAGCAATGACCTGTTTGCTGAAGACAACCTGAGTAGCATAATATGCTGTTATACCTGATAGAGGACGTCCACGGGTCATTTCAGGTAGGAAAGGTTTAGCTGAAAATTTATTACAGTTTTTAGCACCAATGATGATCCCTGAAAACATACGCTAAGGATAAAGACCGACAAAAGACTTGACATCGCACTAAGTTGCGGTTCTCCCTGTCAGTCACATGGCGATGTGGATGTACTGGTGTAAGAGGAGTCGATGGTAGGATACGTCACAATTTGCTTGCAAGTGCCAGCAGCATGTTCTCTTGCCACCTCCATCGGACTCATGGTCCTTCCTTTCTGCAGGCACAATCCGCAAAAAGAGACTTTGCGTTGTTCGAGCTCGAGGTCGGAGCCGACAAAGGTCAGTTTCCGCTGAATCCTGCACGTGCGACACAAGAACCCTGAGCACAACTTGCACGTATTGCCCTCGCTCTTGCTGTAGTCGCCTCTCCGGAGCTTGGAGATGGGTGTCGTGCACGTGACACAGATACTTGGGCAAGTTGGAGTCCCCAGCTCCTTAGCCATAGCATAGCGCTTCGCCAACATCCAGATCATCTTCTTCATCTTACCGCAGTGTGCGTACTTAAGCGTCGTGAGGTAACTGGTAGCGATACTTGGCATCACAAAGGCCTTAATCATGTCACCACCCGGGTCTACGATGCCCGACCCGTACATTTCAATCGTATCGGGGCCAGCTTGACGGAAGATACAGCACACTGTGATGTTGGCACGGATCCGACCAGGTAGCATCTTGGTCTGTGGGAAGTTGACCGAGTGGAAGATCATGACACCGACACGTTCACCAGTGGACAGTCGAACGATCTTTGTGCACTCAAGGTAAACGTAGTCGCGGTTCTTGACGAGCGAGGTCGACGCGAACGGGAGATCGAGCTCCATCCACTTCACAGACGTCGACTTGAAAGGTTCTTCGACTGTTGGTGTGTCAAGGGAAGCCAGTACAGCGCCCCCGCTCATATCCTCGACGTATGAAGCTTTGATCCGCATCGACTCGAGCGTTGGGTTGACGGCTCCGAACATGCAGTCGTCTACAGTGCCCCACGTGATACCAGTCATCAGGAATTCTGGGTGGTCGGTCTTAGCACCGTCTGTGGTAGTCCGGATCATCGGGTGTCGTTCCAGATACACGCGGGTGTCGTCCTTGCTTTTGATGACTTTCCACTTCTTCTGGTCGACTCTTGGACCACTGTCACTGATGAACCGTTCGTACTTCTCGACATTCTGATCAATGACGTTGTAGCCGAAGTCCACGAGACCGGCCTTATCGGCACTCGAAAGCGAGAGCTCATCGAATGGGTTGACGACGAAGCGGTCCTTGCCCATATTTTATCGAGGGGCGTAGTGGAAACGTAGGTACTACGGAGACTGTCCGTGTAGTTGCTGTAGGCCAGAAAAATGAAGAATGGTACTGAAAAGAAGCGCGGTAATGTCTGTTTTAAGGTAAGGTATCCAGAGTAGGAGCTTATTCAAGGCAAACTCATCTTCTGGGCTCTCGTCACATTATGCTTTCGTGTGGTTTATTTTGGTAAGTAAAAAAGAAAGGAGATGGGCTCTTTATTTTACCGATTACTGAACGTGTCGATTACTTTTCAATTTAGAAATCACGGACCGAGCAAACGTCAATTAGAAATACCAGAAATGTTACAGAGTCAGCGCGTCTGTAAGAAGTTTTCGCGTCACCAAAGTGACACTGCAACGTGGCAGCCAAGACTCAAAGACTGCAAGTGCCTGGAAATGCAGCAAACGAGTGGTTACGCGAGCATTAAAAGTGACGAAGATATATTCATACCTGCCCCACTTCTACTATCCAGAGAAGAGTAGCTGCAATATTAACCTGAGCGCCTCATACGTGTGATTCTGCCAGGAGAACGCTAAAATCACATGAAGAAGCTGCTAATAAAATACAAGACGGGTAAAAATGCGAGGCTGAAATAATTTAGAAAGACTCGGTACCTTGTGCCGTAGTGCTCCGGAGTTTGCAAGATCCACCAGCAACTTTGACACGTCACCAGATGTCACGCGGTAGTGTGAGACGCAGGTAATACAACCTTGGGTTGTAGCCGTAGGACTTGAGTTGTAGGCGGTAAAACTGAGAATGAGATTAAGAATGAAGTTAAAGGAACGAGAGCTACTTGGTGTCGTCCTGCTCTAGCCTAGGAAACCATATGAGAAGCATCTCGGCTTTGACTTGTAGAGACGGCTTGGCAGAGCCACGAGTTGCTGGCTGTCCAATTGGACAGCCAGCGTGTGCTCACGTTGAATGCCAAGGTTACTAGCCGTTCGCCGCCGCTACGCGGAGGAGTGGCATGGTTTGTTGGAGATGAGGGGCCCCGAAAATTAAGTGCTTCTTCGTGTCGCGTGTTTTATGGGCGTCGTTCAACCTAATACGTCGTGGCTTCTTGTAGTCAACCACTTAACTGTCCGTAATCTCATGTGGCTTTGTACAATATCGTGGTTTGATACGTTTCCGTTACCCCGTACTACAGGCTGAATGTCGTGTTCTTCAATGGCCTGTGCTCTTCCGTGTTCTTCTTGGTTTCGTGGTTCTCTGTTCACCCGTGGTCCACGCTGTTTGTGGATATGCGCTCTCTTTTGAGCTCATGCACTTTAGTACGGCCTCTTTCGTGGCTCCTAACTATTCCCTGTTCTCAAACATTTACGCGGGCTGTACCGCTTTCGTGATACATAGGCATTCGTGGCCGTTGGCCTCCCATCACCGGTACTCTAACCAAAGGGTGCTATTCCGTGCTTTGGTGCCTCCATGCAGTCGTGTGGTTCCGTCGCCCGTGCATCGTGATCTCCTGATGAAGTGTCATCGACCGCGGTATCACGCTATCGGGCAATCGCGGTGTGGTTATGCTGTCTATGGTATTGTGCACGTGTAGTGCATCTGCGTTGTCCGTGTTATCGTGCTCTACGATGCCATCGTGCTCCACTGTGTGTAATCGTGGTCATACCAAGCCCACCCCCTGTGCATTTGGTAGGCGGTCCGCAGTCCGTGCAATCGTGTTATCATGTACTGCTGTCCTCCGTGGCTCGGTAAGCTCAGGTTCTACACTGGTATGGTGCTCCGTGACTCGGTGATTTCGTGTGGCAGCGTGTTCTCCGATACTTTAGTGGATAACTCAGCGTCCATGCTGTCGTGTTATCTCTGGTGTCGGGGATGGGCTGTCGTCTGTGTTATCGTTAGCTACCGTAGTGTCGCGCTCCGTGGATCGGTGAGCTCAGTTTCTACGTAGGCATCGTGCTCCCAAGACTGGTGATTTCTGATTTTCCGTATCTGGCTTACTGTGGGCTCAGGTTTGGTCGGCTGACTGTGCTCCATGTTTACCCGTGGTGTTGCTGGAGAATTGTTTCTGTGCATTCTCACCGGTACGTGTTCTACCGTGGCTTCGAACGTGCGTGCTCTTCCGTGGCCCGTGCTTTTCAGCATGCTGGGGTGTGTATGTATTTAGTTCCCTTCCGTGGTCCGTACGCTCCCGTCATATTCTTGTCCCTCTGTCCTTTTCATAGCTGCGTGCACTTCCGCCTTTCACGCTACGCATAAAACTTCGTGGTTTGCATCGGCTAAGAATTCTATCGTCGTCCATGGCCTAACGTGCTTCGTGTTGCTCTTCTATCTCGTCGTCTACATAGTGTGGGTCGGTGTTCTTTCGTGTTTCGTGTTCTTGCTGAGTCACGTGCCTCCGCGCTAGCTGAATCACAAACGCTGTTCCCATTTTGTTTGATGTACACAACGTATATTGTTGGAAAGTTCACACAATATCTTATGGTCGCACACTACGCGCGCAAATACAAAGGAAGATGATACTGTTTCCCGGGGGCAGTGCTGGGTGCAAGGCACAATAATCTTTTTTTAAGTATTCACATTTTTATTAATAGTAATAAAAGAATGATTTATTATCGAACGCTGAGGTGACGCCGTCGAGTCCCTTGCACCTTGGCGTCTCCGTACATCACTCGACCGTCGCTTTAATTATGTGTACTACTACTACTAATACTGCAAGAAAAATATGATAGATAAATATTTAGAATAGTACTACTCAAAACTGTTTTGTAAGTTTTATTATTAGAAAAGTACTACGAGGCCTAAAATATCATTCTAAAACCAATAAGTACTAGCCGTTCGCCGCCGCTACGCGGCGGAGTGGCATGGTTTGTTGGAGATCAGGTGGCCGCAAATCTAAGTGTTTTTTGATGTCGCGACTTTGTGAGCGTCGTTCACCTCAGTAGGTCTTGGCTTCGAGTACTTAACCACTTACCATTCCGTAGTCTCATGTTTACTTGTATAATATCGTGGTTTGGTACGCTCTCGTTACCCCGTACTACAGGTTGGATGTCATGTTCTACAGTGGCCGGCGCTCTTCCGTGATCTTCCTGGCTTCGTGGCTCCCTGCTCACCCGTGACCCACGCTGCTTAGTGATTATCCTGGATTTGTGGACTCATTCTCTCACACGGCTTAGTGGTTGTGTGCTAGCTCCTTTGGTCTCATGCGCTCCCGTAGTACGACCCTCTTCCGTGGCTGCTAGATATTCCGTGCTTTCAAGGGTTTACGTGGATTCCACAGGCTTCGTGTCCATAATCATTCATGGTCGCGTTCCATTTCTGGTACCCTCGCCAATGGGTGATCTCCCAAAGTTTTCTGTCACATGTGTGCCGCGCACCCCTGTGGTGGCTCCATCTACCGCGTTATCGCGCTATCGTGCAATCGCAATGTGGTTATGCTGTCTATGCAATCGTGATCGCATAGTATAAATGTTTTGCCAATGTTATCGCGTTCTACGATGGTTCCGTGTCCGCGGTGTGCAATCGTGGTCTCCCGAAGCGATTTTATGGCTGGTCGACCGTCCGGGTAAACGTGTTTTAATGAAGTATCTTCCTCAGTGGCCCGGCGATCTCAGGTTCTACAGTGCTATCGTGCTCAGTGGCTCGGTGATTTCCCGTGGCTGCTTGTTCTCCCATGTTTTAGTGGTTGTCCCACTGTCCATGCTATCGCTTGGTGTCGCGGTTGGTCTGTCGTCCAGGCTTTCGCTATCTACAGTAGTATCGCGCTCCCCAGTGAGCTCCGGTTCTACCCTGGTATCGTGTTTCAATACTCGACAACCTCCCGTTAATGGTCTGTTGGGGCTTCATGTTTGGTCCGTCGACCGTACTCCGTGCTCTACCGTGGTGTTATGGGAAAATTGCTGTTCGTGCACTCTTACCGTTACGTGTTCTACCGTGGTTTCGAGCGTGCGTGCTTTTCCGTAGCCGTGCTTTTCAGCATGCCGGGGTGTCTATATATAGTTCCCTTCTCTGGCCCGTACGCTCCCGTCATATTCTTGTCCTTCTGTCCTCATCATGGCTGTGTGCTCTTCCGTCCTTCACGCTACTTATAATACTTCGTGGTTTGCATCGGCTAAGAATTCTATCGTCGTCCATGGCCTAACGTGCTTCGTGTTGCTCTTCTATTCCATCATCTACATAGTGTGGGTCGGTGCTCTTTCGTGTTTCGCGCTCTTGCTGATTCACGTGCCTCTGCGCTAGCTGAATCACAAACGCTGTTCCCATTTTGTTTGATGTACACAACGTATATTGTTGGAAAGTTCACACAATATCTTATGGTCGCACACTACGCGCGCAAATACAAAGGAAGATGATACTGTTTCCCGGGGGCAGTGCTGGGTGCAAGGCACAATAATCTTTTTTTAAGTATTCACATTTTTATTAATAGAAATAAAAGAATGATTTATTATTGAACGCTGATAAAATAATTATGTGTACTACTACTACTAATACTGCAAGAAAAATATGATAGATTAATATTTAGAATAGTACTACTCAAAACTGTTTTGTAAGTTTTATTATTAGAAAAGTACTACGAGGCCTAAAATATCATTCTAAAACCAATAAGTACTAAAGTTTGGCTTGAAGGCGAAATATGAGTCCCGATAGGCTACATTTTTTTTCAACAGCTCCTACGACGATATAGTACGTGCGTGGCGCCTTTTAATTATGCTAACTAACGCGTACACAGGCGGCGCCCTTCGAGTGAGGTGGCGGTCCACAGTTGAAAATGGGGCAAAATGAAATTTGAGCGGTGCATTTAAGTCCGATGTGTTGACCACATACAGTGTGTACAAAACATAATGCCGATTATAGCCAATGGGGGCCGCCTTCGCTGCGCTCGGCAGCTTTTTAGCCAATCGATGCCGCCTTCGCTGCGCTCGGCAGCCAGTAGAACGCGCGTATTAGCGTGAGGATTATTAACCCTAGCCCGTTACGGACGGACGTACGGACAAACACACGTCAGACTTCACTAGATGGGGTAGACTAGCCGTTC